GTTCATGGCAGTTTCTTCTCCCCCCCCGTTTAACCGTTTTTATTTTTTTTTTTTGTGTATGTAATTTTCCCACGCACATGTGCATAAAGTGTACATGTGGCGAGTGGTCATGTGCCAACGCAATCAAACGGAATGACTTGTTTTGCCCTCTCACCTAGTCGGTGGGGGCGCGTGCAGTTACCGATTTGGAGATGTACAAGACATCTTTATGGTAGCCATTACGCCAGGTGTAGAAAAGGGGGAACGTGCAAAATTAAGAAAGAAAAAAAAAGGCAATGCCCTGTTAATCTGTACGCGAGGAGGTTCCTCCTCTGGGAGTAGAAAGGGGGCCCCTTCGTGCCACTCTCGAGTAAACTAAACGGTTATACCCCCCCTGGCTGCTCTCTGCGCGCCTCGGCTTTTACCCCGTTTCGACATGTTGATGGGGTAAGCCCCTTTCCCTGACGACGTGCATAGGGATTGCATAGACGGGGTGCATTTGTCGGAGGTCCAATCCCCCGTCTGATTCGTTCATGTTGTCTATCAAGCTGAGTGCGGCGAGGCCGAAGAAGGTGTGGCAGATGTCTGGCAGGCAATCTGGATTGTCACTTATGCCACCATTGTCTAAATCCTGGCAGAGAAAGATGTAATTTTTTAAGGCATCTTTATTTACCCATTTGTATTTGCCGAGAAGAATTAATGAGGAGAATATCCACCATGAGTAGCAGGTGTCTGTTAGTTTTTCTGCGCGTCCATTGAACCCTCCATTATTTGTCTGTCGCAAACTTAGCCACTCTGCGATTTTTTGTTCATTAATGAGATGTAATTTATTAATTAAGAATAAAGTTGCCACTGCACAGAAAACGCTGGCAGCATGGGGTTCATTTCCACTTGTCCAAGAAAATCCATTTTGGCAAATGGAATAATTCGTTAAGACGTATGACGCAATTTTCTCCGTTGAGACTAGACTTAGTCGTTTTAGGATAGTTAGGCAGCTGACTGCGCTGTATGCAAAGCGTGTGTCCACTTCTCCCCAAATGTCGCCCTTAAAGGAGCCGTCTTCATTGAGTAGGGTTAAGATGTAATCCGTGGTGCTGTCTGCTATGTTCTTTGGTGAGTTACCTCCATCACCGAGGCGATGGCAAGAGTGGAGATACGGATTGAACCCGTCAAACGAATGGTTAAGTAAGAGGAGAGACAATATCGCGTGGTGCGTCGACACAACATGGGAGTCGTATTTTTTGTTGTTCCCAAAGCCTCCATCGGCATTCTGGCACTGCAGAATGAAGTTAATGAATTCCTCCTTTTGCTCAATTTCGTGGGACAAAATTTTACATGAGCAGATGTAGTAGAACACGCCGCACATCTTCAGGGTTTCGTTGAATATGAGTTCTTCTGCGCTGGTTGTCGTGGTGTAGGTATTCAGGTAGTTTACGTGTTTGTCTTTTACGAACTGGATTTCTTCCATTTTATGCTTCCCTGTGCGGGGGGAGTTCTACGGAGTGAACGTACGGGTGGAAGTGGGCCTACATCCGCGTATCCAATTGGATAGTTATGTTTCTTATGCTTCTTATAGTTCTTATGGTTCTTATGGTTCTTATGGTTCTTATGGTTCTTATGGTTCTTATGGTTCTTATGTTTCTTAGGTTTCTTAGGTTTCTTTCTTTTTTTTTTTTTT